TTCACTCAGAGATCGATTCTGTGGTCGGAAGAGATCGGAGTCCCTGTTATGCCGACAGACTTCATATGCCGTTCACTCAGGCGTTCATTAACGAAGTGATGAGATATAAGACTACTATTCCCGTAAATCTGATGAGAAGGTAATTACACTTAATATATAAAATAATATTACATTTTATAATCACAAAAATTATTGATAACAATAACAGGACAACAGAGGATACATCAGTTTTGGGTCATTTCATACCAAAAGACACNCGTAAATCTGATGAGAAGGTAATTACACTTAATATATAAAATAATATTACATTTTATAATCACAAAAATTATTGATAACAATAACAGGACAACAGAGGATACATCAGTTTTGGGTCATTTCATACCAAAAGACACTAAAGTTTTAGCCAATATATGGGCCGTTCATAACGACCCCAAAGTATGGCATAAACCGCAAGACTTTAATTCCAAACGATTCCTTACAAGTGATGGCAAAGAAGTGATTAAAATCGATGCTTTCATACCATTCTCTTACGGTTTGTTAAGAATTTATATTAATTATAGTAATTAATTAAAGAATATTCTGTATTTGTTTTGACTGTTAGGTAAACGCAATTGTGTTGGCGAGACATTGGCACGAGTGGAGGTATTCCTGTATTTAGTATCACTTCTACAAAGGTATACAATAAGTGCAGCAAATGATGAGGTGTTGACTCTGGAGGAGAGGTTTGGCCTATCATTACCACCAAAACACAAACCAATTCTTATATTTAATAAGCGGTACTAAGTTTGTGCCGAATGTTAATGGCATAGAATTTTAAGGACTTTTTTTATAAACAAATTCAAAATTAATTACTATATATTAAATAATATTCTTTTAATAATAATTTTGAATATATTTAAATATATATATTTTGTATTACATATTAATTACTAAATAATAAATACAGTATTTGCATTCTGTTATATAATGAATAGTAAGCTATTACGCTATAATTTTATTTATTAAGAGTAGTTTATACATACAAAAAGTGTCAAAAGTTGAATTTTTACAAATGTTTATACAGTTAATGTAAAAAATAATAGTTTATAAATAACAAACACAATGTTTAATTAGAAGTAATATTTATATAAAATAAGTCTACTGATCTAGATTCATTGTGAGATTCTGCTGCTTTATAACACTACTTATCCATAGTTAAACCTTATATTCATTTATGATATTATTTTTTATTTAATGCTAAAATGATAACAGAATTAAATTCACAGAATATAAAGAGAATTTGTTTTCTTATAAGTCAATTGTCATCTAAGAGGTCACCTCCTATTCCTGTGCCAATGGTGTCAATCATAGTTTTCAATGATTTTTCTCATTTATTTATACACTAACGAAATATTAGGCCATAAATCACAGATGTTCAATTAGTCATTTCAATGTAGAAAAAAAGGTTTCGATATTTCCAGAAATTATTGACAGTATTTCGGGAATATAGGAAATTCAGGGGATAGTATAATTAAATATATTTTAGTTAAACAAAGT